CCCAGCAGGTCGAAGCTGCTATAGCCAGGATGGTGTCACTGCACTCCAGCCTGGGCAACGGGTGAGACTCTGACTTAAATAGGCAATAAAAAAACTCTTAAATCTCAATTCAAGAAGACAACCCAATTTTTAAAATGAAAGATTAGTACAGATATTTCACAAATGAAGATATATGAATGGCCAAAAAAGCTCATTAGCTATCAGATAAATTCAAATTAAGGCCACAATGAGATCCGTCACCCATCCATCCATTGCAATGGTTAAAATGAATAAGATTGAGGATACCAAAGCTGATGAGTTTATGGAGTGACTAGAAATCTCATATAGTTATGGAGTAAGAACACAATGGCACAATCACTTTTGAAAACTATTTGGCAGTTTCTTATTACCAACAATTTCGCACCTAGGTATACATACAATAGAAACAGAAATGACTGCAAACAACATTAAGCCAATAGTGCTACTTGTAACAGTCAAAAACTGAAAACAACTCAAATGACTATTAACAGTAAAATGAACAGTGGTATATTTCTATAATGGAATACGCTATAGCACTGAGAATGAATAGCAGACAAGTCTCACACAATGCTTAGCAAAAGATGCCAGACACAAAACCATGTTCATTTTATTATTCCATTTATGTAAGAGTTCAAAGTAAGGAAAAACTAATCTGCCATGACATGATGAAATACTAATTAACTTTGGATAGTAAATACTGGGAGGGCCTTCAAGGGGGTCTTCTGGGGTTATGGAATGATCTATCTGGGTATGGTTACATGAGAGTTTTTATTATTGAAAATATAAACCGGGCTCGGTGGCTCAGCCTGTAATCCCGTGCTTTGGGAGGCTGAGGTAAGTGGATTGCCTGGCCCGCAGGTTTGAGACCTGCCTGGGCAACTTGGCGAGACCTCATCTCTACAATAAATCAAAAATCAGCCGGGCGTGGTAGTGCGCGCCTGTAATTCCGGCTACTCGGAAGGCTGAGGTGGAAGGATCACCAGAGCCCAGTGGGTCGAGGCTGCGGTGTCCGGGAGCAGCCACTGCATTCCAGTCTGGGTGACGGAGTGAAACTCCAACTCAAAAGAAAAAAAAAAAGAAAACAATAACACATAGGAGAAATTATATGATGTCTTTGGATTTGCTTTAAAATGACCCCCCAAAAAATAAATTACGGGAGGGAATAAACAAGAATACCAAAGTGATGTTAAAGCTAGTGATGAACACATGGGAATTCAAAACGCTCTTCCAATTTTACATAGGATGAAATTGTTTTTGTAATGGCAAGCTCAAAAAGACAAAGAAAAATATACTCTAGGAGATTACTAACCCAAAATAATTTAGAACTATCTGAATATCAGATGCAAGGTAAAAGCATGTCTAGAGAGGCATGACATCTGACAAGAGTACCAGTTCACCTGAAAGATATAAACAACCTACTTAAAAACATTCATTTATTTATTTGAGTTGGAGTCTCGCTCTTTGTCATCCAGGCTAGAGTGCATTGGCATGCTCACGGCCACCCCTCGACCTGCTGGGCTCAGGTGATCCTTCCGCCTCAGCCTTTCAAGTAGTTGGAACTACAGACACACGCCATCATGCCCAGCTAGTTTTTGTGATTTATTGTAGAGATGAGGTCTTACCAAGTTGCCCAGGCTGGTCTCGAACCCCTGGGCTGAGGCAATCCTCTTGCCTTGGCCTTCCAAAGTGCTGGGATTACAGGCTGAGCCACCATGCCCAGCCTATTTATTTTTTTTAGAGACAGGGTTTTACTCTGTCACCCAGGCTGCCACGCAGTAGTACAATTACAGCTCACTGTAACCTTGAACTTCAGGGCTCAAGCAATCCTCTCACCTCAGCCTCCTGAGTAGCTGGTACTACAGGAATGTGCCACCACATCCAATTATGTTTTTTAGTTTTTGTAGAGATAAGGTCTTGCTATGTTGCCCAGGCTGGTCTTGAACCCTTGGCCTCAAATGACCTCACATCTCAACCTCCCAAAGCATTGAGCATAAAGATGTGAGCCACTGATCATGGCCAAAAGTTCTATTTTTTATGTACCTAATAACATAGCTTCAAAAGTATATGGCAAAAAACAGAACAAGGAGAACTAAAAAACACTACAATCACTACCTTGGGAGTTTTTTTTATTTTGAGTCAGATTCTCATTCTGCTGCCCAGGCTGGAGTGCAGTGACACACTCAAGACCACCGCAGCCTTAACCTGCTGGGTTCAGGCGATCCTTCCACTTCAGCCTTCCAAGTAGCTGAAATTACAAGCATGCGCCACCAAGGCCCTGCTAATTTTTCTTGATTCATTATAGAGATGAGGTCTCACCAAGTTGCCCAGACTGGTCTCAAACCCCTGGGCTCTGACAATCCTCTTGCCTCAGCCTCCCAAAGTGCTGGGATTATAGGTGTGTGCCACTGCGCCTGGTCTATATTGGGAAGTTTAAACACATTGCTTTCATTATTGCTGTATCAAGTATTACACACACACTAAGAACACTAAAGTGACAGAAGAACACAATTAACAACACAATAAATTTGATCTAATAGTTTAGATGGAGCACTGTATTCAAACACTGGAGAAAACAATTATTTCAAAAATAGGAACACTTGTAAAAATGTTACACATAAAAAGCCTGGAAAAAATTGACACATGCCAGAGTTAGCGTATATGTCAAACAGATGGACCAGTCAGTAAATGGTGTTAAGATTATTTGTTAACCATGTGGGGGAAAAAAACCCATAAAAACCAGATCCCTACAACTAACACAAGACCCCAATATACAATGTGAAACTTAAAACTTTTAGAATATAGAGTATCTTTATGATCTCAGCATAAAGAAATGTATTATTTTGGAAATAATAGCTTAACCTATAGTAATTCAGAATTGTGAACTTTGGAGGAGGAGGCCTGAAAGAGGAGAGAGAATGATGCACCAGGCAGGTGTGCACAGGCTTCAACTTTACTGGCTATGTTTTGTTTCTTTGCTGGGATGCCCACAGATATAGATTATATTAGTCTTTTATTTCTTATGTCAGATGTATTTTATACGAAATTCTAAAATGTAGAGAAAAAGAGACAGAACACTCATCTATACTACTGCGGTATATACTACGGCAACAGTCCATCAAAGAGATTAAGGATTAGGGTGAAACGGACCATATGGATCCATGCAAATTGGAAAGGGAGGGACATGAGAAACCTGACAAAGTCCTAGTTAGAAGCTGGTAGAAGTGGGAAACATTAAAAATATCTCTTCAGATATGGAACCTAAGATAATGAGTGAAAAGCCAGTCTGCATAGTACTTACCCTATGGAATATGCTTTAGAAAATCTTCTATGTAACCTCATAAAATCCTTTAAAGTATCCATTATTACTGTATCAAAGATGGGGATCAGATACTATGAATGGCGCAGCTGGTTTTTCTGGTTCAAAGCCAATGTCCTTCATCCTGTGAAATGTGAGGGTATGAATAGAGTCCAGTGGGGAAGCTAGTACACATGCATGCAGTGTGTGACCACCGGTCTTTTTTTTTTCTGAGAGAGGGACTGGTTCTTTATTTCAAAAAGACACTTATCAATATGCAGTATCAAAGCAGATACACTATTGGTTTCTCTTTCTCCCAATCGGCCCCAAAGAGACCACACCAAAGGAGAATAAATTTTAAGTCAATAAGTTGCAGGATGTACACCTAACAGACTTCATAGAAACCTTACCAAAAAGTGGGGACTGGGTAGGGAAAGAAACTTCAAAGATCAGCACGCTGCCACCCCACAAACAGTAGGCTCTCACAGCCAGATGAGGTGGCCAGGGTACCCCAAACCCAAAGAAGCAAAATTTTAAAATAATATAAAATTTAAAAAGTTTTGTACATAAGTTATTCAAGATTTCTCCAGCACTGGCTGATACAAAGCACAACGAGATAGCACTTTTAGGGACAGCAGCTTCAGACACCAAAAAGGGTAATGAGATGAGTTTCATATGGCTAAATCAGTGGCAAAAATCATAACTTTCTTTCAAAGATGCAGGAGAGCAATTAAGTGGTTACCACAACATAAGGGGCACATGATCCATTCTGTGAGTGGTTGGGAAGCGGGTAGACATAGGTCAGAAATTTGGTCTTAGAGGTCTCACCATCTTAATTCGGTCACTTCTAATGAAAAAAATAAAAATAAAAATACAGTTGTCCAAAGATACCTTAATGCTGAAAACCTGAACAGCATGTCTGTTGTTGTTTTGGCTATCTCCTCCTGGAATCACCTCTCTGGTTTGGCTAGTACTTCGTACAGAGCAATGAGGTTTCCCATAGTGGAGATTTCCAGGGCTCTGTTTGGTTCTCAGTAAGGCAGGTCCACACTTTTTTCCCTTCTCCATGGAGAGGGTAATATGTATTAAACAAAAAAGTCACCTTCCAAAAGAGAAAAAGGGATTAGTTTGCTGCTTCAGAGCTGTGGAATTATTTGGAATGTTTTTACCGACGGTTGCTTCAAAACAACATAAAAGGTTAATTACAAAATGTGTACATCACAACATGCTTTTAAAGACATTTTGCATTGTGCTCACATTCCCTGAAATGTTGTTCCCAAATGTGCTCAGCCTCTAGCCCAGTTGGAATCTTTGGGAAGTGGTAGAGATAGTTTGGCGAAAAAAACACAGGGGCGTGAGGGGAACCAGGAAAGGAGAAAGCAGCCTTCCAGTTAAAGATCAGCCCTCAGCCGGGTTCGGTGGCTCAGCCTGTAATCCCGTGCCTTTGGGAGGCTGAGGTGAGTGAATTGCCTGAGCCCGTGGGTTCGAGACCTCATCTTTACAATAAATCAAAAAATCAGCCGGGTGTGGTAGCGCATGCCTGTAATTCCGGCTACTCAGAAGGCTGAGGTGGAAGGATCGCCGGAGCCCAGCAGGTCGAGGCTGTGGTGGCTGGGAGTGGCCACTGCACTCCAGTCTGGGCAACCGAGTGAGACTCCAACTAAAAAAAAAAAAAAAAAAAGATCAGCCCTCAGGTTAAAGGTCAGCTTTGGGCAGGCTGGCCTCAGGCGGAGTTGGGGGTCAGAGGGAGGATCAGTGGCAGGGTAGGCCTGGGGTGCTCTACATCTCATTCAGGCCCAGCAGAGTCTGGTCCAGCATCCTTTGTGTACAGAGGTGCTCCTCTTTGGTGCATTTCAGTTTATCTTCCAAATCATCGATTGTCTTTTCCAGCTTGGCTACCGATCTCTCAGCAAACTCAGCACAGGTCTCTGCCTCCTTGAGTTTATCAATAAGAACCATGATCTCTTTTTCGTATTTGTCTTCTTTTTGAGAGTAGTTTTCTTCAGCAGCACTCAGACACTTCCGGTTCTGGTCCATCAGTCTGATCTGCTCATCCATCTTTCGGCAATGGGATTCTGCCAGCTCAGCTGTGTGTTCCAGGTCTCCTTCAATAATCACCAACTTACGAGCCACCTCTTCATATTTCCTATCTGCCTCTTCTGCAATGTGCTTAGCTTCTTTGAGTTGGATTTCCTGGAGTTCCATCTTTTCTTCAATTTTTAAGGCCCGGTTTTCAATGACCTTCATATCTCTCTCATTCTCATTAGCAGCTTTTTCTGCTTCTTCCAGCTTTTGCAGGGCAGTGGCCAGGCGCTCCTGAGCCCGCTCCTGAGCTCCTCTTCGACCAGCTAAATCCTACGGTTCAAGGAGGCCACCTCAGCCTCAGCCTGTTCCCGGGCCCGCCTTTCCCCCTCCACTTCCCGCTGCAGCCGCTCAGCTCTTTCCTTGGCATCATCGGCCTGCTGCTGCAGAATCTGGATCTTGTGCTTCTTTGCCTCGATGGTGGTGATTCCCCCATGGTGCCCACCCAGCTGCTGCTCAAACTCGGTTCCTGCCTCCTCCGCTCACCATCAGTCTTTAAAAGAAATCTGTATCATTCCACAAGAATGATGACTGGGTGTTCTTGCACAAGTGTGAGACGTACCACCCTCAAACCTTGTCATGGTGTTGGCACATTACCCATCTGACATGAAAAAATTAAAGATATTTGCATATAGGGAAAATATTATAGTCTCTGAGTCCAGTAGTGGTAATTGACTCACCTAGACCTAGTCACACAACCAGTGTCAAATAGCCGTAAGATTATGGAGGTTATCAACCCAGCATAGTTCTGCAGCAAAAAAATTTTAAAAACTTCAAGGTACCATTTTTCGTGTCATTTTGTCCCTCTTTGTAAAGTACTATCTGAATTTATGATATCGCCAGTTATCTTCTTAAGGCACATTATACCATAAAATATGAATAGGGGAAAATTCAACATCCATTTCAATGACAACATTTCTTTCTTTCAACAAAATATCTCCTTCAGTAAAATACTGAGTGAGCCGGGCACCATGGCTCACACCTGTAATCTCAGCACTTTGGGAAGCTGAGATGAGAGAATTGCCTGAGCTCAGGGGTTCAAGACCAGCCTGGACAACTTGGTGAGACCTCATCTCTATAATAAATCAAAAAATTGACTGGGCATGGTGGCACACACCTGTGGTTCCAACTACTTGGAAGGCTGAAGTGGAAGCATCGCCTGAGTCCAGCAGGTCGAGGCTGCGGTGGCCATGAGCACGCCACTGCACTCCAGCCTGGGTGAAAGTGAGACTCCAACTCAAAAAAACAAAAACACCACTGCGTGATCTTTTGTCTGTCTATGTGACATCAGCATCCAGAACACATGAGAGCTTCAATAAATGTTTCCTGAATGAAAAAAACGAAAATAAGCCGGGCTTGGTGGCTCAGTCTGTAATCCCGCGCTTTGGGAGGCTGAGGTGGGTGGATTGCCTGAGCCCACAGGTTCGAGACCCGCCTGGGCAACTTGGCAAGACCTCATCTCTACAATAAATCAAAAAAAATTAGCCAGGTGTGATAGCGCGCGCCTGTAGTTCCAGCTACTTGGAAGGCTGAGGCGGAAGGATCACTGAAGCCCAGCAGGTGGAGGCTGTGGTGACCGGGAGCGGCCATTGCACTCCAGGCTGGGTGACAGAGACTCCAACTTAAAAAAAAAAAAAAAAAAAGAAAGAAACGAAAATATAAATGGGTGCATGCAGAACATGACAATATGTCTCCCTGCCTTCACCCTAGCTTGCCAAGATTCCTCAGTGATTCTAAGTGGTTCTACTCTCCTAAGTGGGGAAACGCTGAACCAAGTGTCACCTATGCCCTTTACAGCTTTTAACATTCTAGGACTTTTAAGTCAGCATATCTCAAAACACCAGTAGTATAAAATAATTCAGCAACAAAAATTCTTAAATCTGAGTATAACTTTCGACTCCCCAAAAGCTTAACTACTAATGGCCCACTGCTAACCAGAAGCCTTGCTAATAACATAGTACTGATAACATAGTTAATTAACACATATTTTGTGTTACACGTAGTGTATTCTTACAATAAGGTAAGCAAGAAAAGAAAATGTTACTGAGAAAATTATAAGGAAGAGAAATACATGTAGAGTGCTACACTGTGTCAATACTATAAGTTTTTGTTATCAATTTACAAGATGAACTGTACCTCTGAAATGGTGAGGAACCACAGCTGCAGATCTCAGCCAATGGCACATAATCCAGCAATTCAGCTTTTTAATGTAATGTCAAGACTTTTTTTCTGCTTCTTGGGAGCATTTCCAGCATCACCAGTGACACTTTGTATAGGTCTCATGCTGTTACTCAAGGTAAATATGAGAAATATTCCAGAACTGGGAGAGATCATTTTTTACTGTGATACATAGTTTACTGAAGAGATGAACTGCTCCTGTGAAGATGGCTAGCATCACATGGCATTTTAAGCAGATACTCACAACACTTGAGCTCATGGCAATAGCAAGAAGAGGTGGCTGCAAAATTATTACAGTACCACACTATGTGCTAAGTTAATTTTATGCAGTTATGTTTTCACACTGCATCTTTAGGTTTGTTTACATTTCTCTCAACTGCAAATGGTGCCATGCAAGATTTGTGTAAGTTGTAATGAATTTTAACTTAAAAAAATTTTTTTTTTGAGTTGGAGTCTCACTCTGTTGCCCAGGATGGAGTGCAGTGGCACACTCATGGCTCACCACAACCTTGACCTTCTGGACTCGGGCGATTCTTCTGCTTCAGCTTCCACTATAGGTATGCCACCACACCTGGCTAGTTTTTTTTTTATTTTTGTAGAGGCAAGGTCTCAAACTCCTGGGCTCAAGTGATCCTCTCGCCTCGCCTTCCCAAAGGGCTGGGATTACAGGTGTAAGCCACCACGCCTGGCCTTTTATAATACATTGATGTATATTTGATTGTAGTAAATGATAGAGTAGACCAGTATCTCCATTTTTTGCATTTCTGATATACTAAAATTAAATTTTTTGATATTTCTGGGCTACACAGTTCATCTGTGAGTTTTTCAAAAATTGTCACAAATCTCCAAATTTTTTTCAATATAGTTATTGAAAAAAATCTGCATATAAGTAAACCTGCATAGCTTAAACTTCTATTGTTCAAGGGTTAACTGTATTTACATAATATATTAGGCGTTCATGTCACATTCATATGATCTACATACTTATGCATTATCTATATATTAAAGTGAACATATTTTTTTAACCTTTAGTTACTAAAAAGGCCTAAAATCAATAACAAACCCATAAGTCGTGATAGAACTTGCATAAGATTGTTTAAATCTACATTAAGAAATAGTAATTGGCTGGGCACTGTGGTTCACGCCTGTAATCCTAGCACTTTGGGAGGTCGAGGTAAGAGGACTGCTTGAGCCCGGGAGTTCAAGACCAGCCTAGGCAACATGGAGAGAGAGACCTTGTCTCAGAAAAAAATAAAATAAAAAAATTAGCTGGGTGTGGTGGCACAAGCCTCAAGTCCCAGCTGCTTGGGAGGCTGAGGTGGAAGGACTGCCTGAGCCCAGAAGGTTGAGGCTGTGGTGAGCCAAGATCACGTTGCTGCACCCTGGCCTGGATGACAGAGTGGGAAAGGGAGGGAGAGAGGGAGGGAGACAGGGAAGTGTGGGGAGGACAAGGGAGGGGAGGGGAGGGGAGGGAGGAAGAGAAAGGAAAGGAAAGGAAGGGAGAAAGGAAAGGAAGAAAGCCAGAAAGGAAGGGAAGGAGGGAAGGAGATGGGAAGGAAGAAATGGAAGAAGGAAGAAAAGAAAGAGGAGGGAGGGAGGGGAAAGGAGAAAAATAGTAATTGATTACCTTTTGAGGACAACAAGAAACTAACTCTCAAGGACTGGTAAACAACGAGACAAAAATCAAGAGTTTATCCTGCCTTTCCTATATAAATTCCATCATTAAATGACCAGTTTCTCTTTATAGAAGCATTCTAGCTAGTAAGTCAAGAAATGATTTAATAGGAATTTCACCATCTTCCAGTTTCTAATAAATTAATGGATAGCAATGGCTGCTATCACCAGAGACAAAATACAATGTGTTTGTCCTGATGGAAGAATACATTACCACCTAAGAAATACAATTGCCAGAAACATTGCAAATGAGCCTAGTCAAGCCTGCAGATCTAACAGCAATGAATATTCCAGACTGTAGAAAATTGTATAGGGTAAACAATACAAATTTCCTTAACAAGTGTATGGGGCTGAGGGAAGCCTAGGGTTACATGTATTATAAAAGAAACAACAACTAAACTACAGAGTTTGGGGGATGCACACTATGGCATTCAAGAGTATGAAGAAAAGCAAGGAAGTAATCCCCATAAAAGTCAAGGCAGTTACTTTTAGGGAAGAGAAAACTGTGACTGGAATAGAGTACATGGAGGACTTACAGGGAGACTGGCGAAGTATTTCTTGACCTGGTGAAGTTAACAACTGATATAGTCCCCAAAGTAATTAATTTGCTTTATGTAACTGTTCTTGGTATCTGTACTACATTAAATAATAAAAAGGTTTTTCGGCTGGGCATGGTGGTTCACACATGTGATCCCAGCACTTTGGGAGCTGTGGTGGAAGGACTGCTTGCACACAGGAGTTTGACTCCAGCCTGAACAACACAGCAAGGTCGCTCTCTATAAAAAATAAAAAAATTAGCTGGGTGTGATGGCACACGCCTGGAGTCCCAGCTGTTTGAGAGGCTGAGGTGGAAGGATCACCTGAGCCCAGGAGGTCGAGGCTGCAGAGAGCCATGAGGTCTCATGGGATGAGGTCTCGCCAAGTTGCCCAGACTGGTCTTGAATCACTGGCCTCAGGCAATCCTCTCACCTCCACCTCCCAAAGTGCTGAGATTACTGGCATGAGCCAACACACCCAGCCAATAAAAAGGGTTTTTAAAATGTTTGAAAATATTATGTTGAAAGAGTTTGGGGAAATGAGTACCGATACATTGTTGGTGGAAGTGTAAATTGGTTCAGTCTTTATAAAGGACAATTAGGCAAAATCTATAAAACTACAAATGTACATACCCTTTGACTTACCTTCACTTTCAGGAACTTCTCTTACAGTTACACTTATACACATGTGAAATGGTCCACGTGAAAAGGTTATTACTGCAATACCCTTATAATAGCAACTACTGGATACAAACCTAACTGCCTACCAATAGGAGACAAGTCAAATTATAGTGCATTTACACAATAGAGAGCCCAGAAATCAACCTTTGTCTATATGGCCAAATGATTTTTGACAAGGGTGCCATGACCATTCAATGGAGAAAGAAGAATCTTTTCAACAAACAGTACCAGGAAAACTGGATATCTACGTGCAAAAGAATGAAGTTGAATTCTTACCGAAACCCATATACAAAAATTTACTCAAAATGAATCAAAAGTCTAAATGCATGACATTGGATATGGCAATAATTTCTTGGGTATGACACCAAAAGCAGTCAACAAAAGAAAAAATAGATA